CAGGGGCCCCACAAACCCCCCGGCCCTGCAGCGCAGCAGCAGGGGGGCAGCAGGCCTCAGCCATTTCGTTGGGGGCCCCCCCGAGGCCCCCGTACACGGGGGGGGGCCCCCCGCTGGGGGCCCTCCCCACGTGGCTAGGGGGCGAACCCAGGCCTGGCCGCAGCAGCGAGCTCCCCCCAGGCCGCTGGGGGGCCCCCAGGGGCCCCGCCATCTCCATGCTGAGAATGGCTGGGTCGTGGGGGTAAGCCGCCACTGGGGGGGCCGGCGGCTCGGGCTCGCTGCATACTGTCAGGTCCTTAATGTGTTTGCCTGCATGCAAAACCCTAAACCCTAAACCCTACACCCTAGACTGTAAACCCTAAACTCTAAACCCTAAACTCTAAACCCTGCAGGGCCTGCAGCAGTCACCCGCCGGGCCTACAAGCTATCCGGGCCTTCAGCCCAACCCCAAACCCTAAACCGTAAACCCTAAACCCTAAACCCTCGCTGACCGCGAAACACGATGCAGTTGAAGATTTCTGCAGAGGGAGGAATATGGAGAGCCACCGGGCGAGACTCTGTCCCGAAGGACTGCACATAGCGCAGCGAAACTGTCGAGGCGACGGGGTCAATCGAGTCCAGAATGCCTGAGTCAAAAAGGGAAAAAGCGGGGCTGGACTTGCATGCATGCACGCAGAATGCAGCAGCAAAGGCAGTTTAGAATAATTAAATAAAAAAGACAAATTTGGAAAAAAACGGGAAAAAATGAACGAGAAAGACGTGTTCCTCGCACGAGAGTCAGCAGTGAACCGGAACGAATTTGACTGAAGTCCAAATCTGAATCGCGGCCAAGTCCAGGAAACGAAAAAGAATAGTCTGTTCGTTTCCTGAGTTTGTTTCGGCAAAAAGATGAGACAAAAAGAGAAAAGTGTTTGGTGGACATTCCAAACCGGCGCATTCAGATCGGCGCGCGCGCAGGAGGTGTCCATACACCTCAGATTCAAGAACACACGAACACGCACCGACACGAACACCCGCCGCAGCCGAGTGGAATAAAGTGGAAGGCGGGGCGATTAGGGCCCTTCTGGGGTTCCTCGGGCCTCGAAAAGGCCCCAGTTAACCTCAAAAATGAATGCAAATTAATTTGATCTGCGAAAATTCGGGAAAAGAGGCAGATCGGCTCAAATTCAAATTGCGAAAATCGGAATTGCGCAGCAACTGCCCGGGGCGGCGCCCGGCGTGCCAGTTTGCAGGCCGTTTCCGGCGAATGCAACTGAATTATTTCCTCCCGTTTTGAGTTTCGAGATTAAAACTTAGTGCAAAAAGCGGGAAAGAAAAAGGAAGGCTCTAAGGCGAGCAGTGCTGCTGCTGTCGCTGGTGCTGCTGCTGCAAGTGCTGGCGCGCCGCCCTCCCGCGTGTGGAGTCTTCAATGCCCTCACCTTCGTAGCGAATGTCTGAACTTGAAATTAAGGAAATTTTGCTGCCGATGTACGGCAGCTCTTCCCCCGCCGGCTGCGAACTCATCCTGGTCTGGTTGCCTCGGCAGCAGCTGGCGGTGGCAGGGGGAGGGTTTCAGAGCATTCCGCAGCGCAAAGAACACCATTAAGGCCTCCACACTTCTCAATCTCACTTAATTTCCGCAAACACGCAAACTCTGCAGCCCTTGGCTGCTGCTGCTGGCAGCTGGCGCCGCCACTACAGCAGCAGCAGCAGCCTGGGCGGTTCGCCGCATGCATGCTGCAGCAGGATCCGCCTTGAGTCTGCCTGCGCCCTTGCGTCGCGCCAAAGCCTTAAAAAGGGTTTTAAACCCCAATCAGGCTTTTTATTTTCAGAAACTCCTTTTCTTCTCTGTCTATTTCCCTTATATATTCCATTTCCCGCCCCTTTCCACTTGGGCTCGCGCAGCAGCCGCTGCAGCGCCAGTTCATACCTGCTGCTGCAGCAGCGCTCGTCGCCTCTTTTCTGAATTTGTCTTCTTCTTCTTTTTTGTTTTTTGAATTAAATTGAAAGTTCTAATTCACAAACACTCGAGCCAGCTGGACATACACCCCAGACGCGGGCCCTTCCCGGCCTCGCCATTCATTCCTTTCATTTCATTTTTTTTTTAAAAAAAATTCCGCAAAAACAAAATTTAGAAATAAGGGGAACTGCAGTACAAGAGAAAGTCCTTAGTGGCTAAAACTTTAAATCTTTTCTGCAGCAGAAAGCTCTTAGTCGAATTTCACTACCAGATGGATAGGCCGCTCAAAACAAAGACTTTAAGCAGCCAATAAGAACTTTAAAGGACCAAATTTACCATTTGCAAAAACTCCAGAGATAGTGCTGAGGGAAAATCAGCAAAAAAGGAGGCCAAATGGACTATTAAATGCCCCAAGGAGAAGGGCCTGTGGGCCCCAGCGCTGTGGCTTTGCTGCAGCAGGAGCAGCAAAAGTTGCACTTGCTGGCTCTGCTGCTGCTACAGCCATTGACAATGAGAGGGAGACAGCAAAAAATTACTTTAAAAGCCTTTCAGGTCAGTTTTCTCTTCCGGTGCCTCTCTAGACTCCAGAGAACGTTCCAAAATGTTTTTTTCCATTTTATTATTTTGTTTTCGAGCAATAGTGCACAAGACGGACTCGAAATGCCTACTGCGGATTTCTTTTGTGTGCAAATGCAGCAGCAGCAGTCTCCAGCTGTTGCTTTCCAGCCCCCATCTGCTGCAGCAGCAGCAGCAACAGCAGCAGAAGCAGCAGCAGCGTCTAATTGCCAGAGAGAGCTGCTCTCGGTGCTACAGCAGCAGCAGAAAATCCCCAGGCTGCTGCCCAAAGGGCCTCTAGCCCTTTTCTTAACTCATTAAAATCCAAAAGCTCACTGATTCGCTGCTGCTGCAGAGACCAGTGGTCAGGCCAGCAGCAGCAGGAGCTTCAGCAGCTTTCCTACTAGTGGTCTTCGGCTTATTGCCCTCAGAAACTGCAGCAAGCAGCAAACCTTAGTTAGAGAATTAAAACCACTTTTCAGGGTTTCCACCCGCAGTTGAACTCGAGAAAACAAACGCTATTTAAAAACTTTAAAATAATTTTTAGGTCCACCAGCTCCCTAGCAGCAGCAGCTGCTGCAGCAGAAGCTCGCAAGTGGTCCATTGGTCCATCTGGCAGCACTAATTGTTCTGAGCTACATTCCTGGGAGAGGCAGCGAGGGGACTCCCCAAACTCTAAACCCTAAACCCTAAACGCT